CCGCAGCAGGGTCCAGGCGCAGTTTGCCACGTGCCCTGGACGGGGTCAGGGGAGGACACTCAGGGACAGCAGCCGGTCTGGTTTCCTGGATCTCGGCGCAGCACGAGCCACAGGTAACTGCTCCCTCCCTCCCGTCCAATCCCGCCCTCCCCTCCCTGGGGTCAGCACTAAGGGAAAGGGAGGCACAGCTGCTGAGAGCCCAGTGCCTGCCCGGCTCCCACGTGCACACGGCTGCACGTTAATCCCCAGCGTCCCTGCCCGGCTCCGACCTGCACACAGCTACACGTTAATCCCCAGTGTCCCTGCCCGGCTCCGACCTGCACACAGCTACACGTTAATCCCCAGTGTCCCTGCCCGGCTCCGACCTGCACACAGCTACACGTTAATCCCCAGTGTCCCTGCCCGGCTCCGACCTGCACACAGCTACACGTTAATCCCCAGTGTCCCTGCCCGGCTCCGACCTGCACACAGCTACACGTTAATCCCCAGTGTCCCTGCCCGGCTCCGACCTGCACACAGCTACACGTTAATCCCCAGTGTCCCTGCCCGGCTCCGACCTGCACACAGCTACACGTTAATCCCCAGTGTCCCTGCCCGGCTCCGACCTGCACACAGCTACACGTTAATCCCCAGTGTCCCTGCCCGGCTCCGACCTGCACACAGCTACACGTTAATCCCCAGTGTCCCTGCCCGGCTCCGACCTGCACACAGCTACACGTTAATCCCCAGTGTCCCTGCCCGGCTCCGACCTGCACACAGCTACACGTTAATCCCCAGTGTCCCTGCCCGGCTCCGACCTGCACACAGCTACACGTTAATCCCCCGCGTCCCTGCCTGGCTCCGACATGCACACGGCTACACGTTAATCCCCAGCGTCCCTGCCCGGCTCCGACATGCACACAGCTACACGTTAATCCCCCGCGTCCCTGCCCGGCTCCAACGTGCACACGGCTACACGTTAATCCCCAGTGTCCCTGCCCGGCTCCGACATGCACACAGCTCCACGTTAATCTCTCTCTCTCACACACACACAGAGCGTGTCTGGCACGTGCCCCTTGCGAAGGGCCCTTTAACTGACCCCAGCAGTGGCCTTGTGCACAGGAAACACACCCACCAAGGTGCTCTGCCCCCGCTAACGGGGCTGGGCGTTTCACTGCCTGCTTCTCGCCCTCTAGCCATTGGAACAGGTGGGGGCGCCCCACGCGGAGAAGGGGAACAGCCCCGGCCAGACATGGGAGCACCCCAGTCACTGCTCTGGCTACACAGCACCTCGGGCGGGGAGAATCTCTCCCCACTAGGGGTGGAAGATGCCGCTACCTGTAAAGGTTCCACACCAGGACCAGGCAGTCCTTGGCCCCCGAGAGGAAGTGGCTGCTGTCGTCAGTGAAGCACAGGCACGTGAGGTCCTGGTAGTGGCGGTTCAGGATGGCGAGGAGGTTCCCGCTGGAGACCTGGAAACGAGAGAAAGGGAACCCGTGAAAGCCCCTAGATGACCACTTCTCCCTTCCCAGCCTCGCAGCAGTGTGGAAGGGCCTCGCGAGGGCCCCCCGGGGCATAGACACAAGCCAAGCCAGGATGAGCTGGAGAACAGATGGACTCACTGGTAAGGCACCAGACCCTGGCTTCTGATTCAGTGTGGCCTCAAAAAAAACCCACCAACCAACCAACCCACTCCCCGTGCCTCAGTTTCTCCATCGACAGTCTCCTATCCATGAGGCAGAGTGAACGGATGCAAAGCGTCTTGGGAGTGCTGCTTGAGAAGGGCAGCGTGTAGCAGAGACGGCCGGGCAGGGAGCAGCTCCCGGCGTCTTTCACAGAGCTCTGTGCACCCAGCACTCGGAAGGATTTTTCTTGTCCCCTGGTGACAATCCGATACCCACAGCTGCTCAAATAGCGAGGCTCAGGACCATGCCCCGGGACCGAGAGCTTTATGGGCAGACACTTGGCAGTTTAGCCCTGGGCCCAAGTCACGGCTTTTTGATTTGCCCCAGGAAATACTCAGCACATCTCTTACCCCGCCTGAGTGCCACTAACAAGCCCTGCAACTCTCATCCCTTCAGGCCCCGAAGAACTTGCCAAAGCTCCTACGGCAGGCAGGCAGGCAGCACGACCCTCGTTGTGCCAGTGGGGAAACAGAGGCACAACGAGACCGTCTATGCCAAGGTCATCCAGCAAGTCAGTGGCAGAGCTGGGAATAAAACCCAGGAGTGCGGACTCTTGGGCCAGCTTATCCTGTCAACGCTCAGTTTGTCGGCGTGATCACAAGGACTGCGATTTCCCTTTAGGCTGTGGCTCTGCACACCGCCTTCTACCAACCACTTTGGGTAGCCTCCAGTGAGAGTGCGAGGACGGAACGGGCGCCCCTCTCCAAGGGGACAAGCACAGGTACTGCGGATGGTCGGAGCCTCTGCTACCCACTCCTAAACTCTCCTCCAAACACTACGCAGAAACTAAGTGCTTCCCAGAGATAGGATCCAGCGTCCTCTCACCTCGGGCTGCTGGGCAGGGCCCCTTGCTCCCTTCAACACAAGGCCAAGCTGCTGGAGCAGCAGGGGAGACGGAGGGGGGAGCATCTACCCACACAACCGCTATCAGTAAGTGCCGACTTCTCTCACCCTCTCCTTCAGGCTGCAACCACATGCCCGAAAGCAAAGGGCCTGCCAGACAGGCAGCCCTGCCCTCTCGTGGCAATTTCTTGTAGCTGCACAAAGGTGGTTTCCTAAGCTCAAGCCAGAAAAGATGAATTTCTCCTATATTATTTGGAACGGACCTAACAAGGCCTCCGCCAATCAGAGAGCACAGATACCGTGTAATTACGGGTGCCCAGAGCAATGGGACGTCCCTGCATTTGGACTGGGCCCCAGTTCCATAGGACAAACGTGCCTCGGTTGTTCAAATCAGACCCTCGGCACTAGGTATGTCAGTTCAGTGTTTCCTGAGCTAATGCAAACGGGGCCTTTGGAGGCAGAGCACGGCCTAGCGGTTAGTGCAGGAGCTAGGCTTCCTGGCATTTACCAAAGACCCTATCACTGCTTCATGGGTAGGGCCCTTCCAAATTCACAGCCCATTTTGGTAAATTTCACGGTCACAAGATCTGTAAAATCATAAACTGCGTGATTTCAGATATGCAAATCTGAAATGTCAGTGTTGTAACTGTAGGGGTCCTGACTTAACAGGAAGAGTGGGGTGTGGCTCTGCTACCCTTACTTCTGCTCTGCTGCTGGCAACAGCGCAGCCTGCAGAGCTGGGCAGATGGAGAGAAGCCACTGCTGGCCAGGAGCCCAGCTCTGGAGGCCGAATCACTGCCAGCAGCAGCACAGAAGGCAGGAGGGGATGGTACAGGATGGCCACCCTTCTCCACTACTGCCTGCAGAGCGGGGCCCTCAGCCAGCAGCCACCACGCTCGGGCTGTCCAGCTCTGCAGACAGTAGTGCAGAAGCAAGGTAGCATAGTGTGCTCACTGCTGCTGTACTGCTACAGGTAGGATACTGCCTGCAGATGGCCAACAGCGGCTGCCCTGCGGTTGCTCGGCGCCAGTGCATAAGTAAGGGCGGCAATAGGCAATCGCCCTGAAATAATGGTACAACCTCCCTACAAGCCCCTTTTGGGTCGGGCCCTGCAGTCTGAGAAACTCCGGCCTCCCCATGCAATCTGTATAGTATAGGGTCAAAGTACACAGAAGGCCGGATTTCACAGGTGGAGACTGGATTTCCCGGTCCATGACGTGGTTTTCATGGCCACGAATGGGGTAGGACCCTGGTCATGGTATTACCTTGGGCAAGAACCTCTTAGCTCACAAAGGAGCGCTGTGGAGTTTTGGAATAAAGTGTTTTGGATGAAAGGCAAACAAGAGCTCAGCTTGGGTTCACTCTGCCCCAGCAAAGTTCAGTTCCCGAACAGGAAGCAACCAGAAGCCACCATGTACATAATAAAGAGAGGGCTCTTTGCTGGCTCTTTGGTTAAGTGCCGCCGTGCTCCGCGTTCGCTCGATCAACAGTCCTTGCTCCTATGGGTCATTGTTAGGGGGCCTGCACGGCCCTGGCTTGGCAATAAACACAGTGCGGATCTCTAACAAGAAAAACCCAGGCCTGTCAAGTCTGGTGCACATAAGCACGCAGGCAAGGTTTGGGAGGGAGAAGCTTTGAGAGGCAGGAATGTTTTGCATAACAATGCAGATTAAGCATCATAGGAGAGACCACGTCAAGAACACACAACAAGCAACCTTGCACTGGTGCTTCTATTTCTGATCAGCACAAATTACAGATGCAGCCATAAAACTGTTAACTACGCTCATTGTTTTTGGAACATCCTGATGTATCTCAAATAGGGCATTGGGCATTTTAGGTCTCTTACACACTACGTGATCAACTGGTAAATATTATTAGAACGACCAAGTCTCATTTTGCTATAAAATAGGCTTAGTAAGAGGAATTGATGGGAGGGAGGGAGCAGAACAGACCCAAAGGTCCCGCTCATTGTAACTAGAAGTAAATAGGCCCTTCACACCAGAGACCCCAGTGCATGGTGTTCCGACGGGACCACGACCCTCCTGCCTGGTACTGTAGGTGGCATACGGGTGAAGTGTAAGTGACCTAGGCTTAATTAGTGTATTATAGTAGCTCTTATATTAATTGCTTTTGCATTGCTTTGTGCTGTATTAATTGCTTTAGAATTTATAGTATTTAAGGTTTAAATATTATAGTCATTGTTTTTAAGGCCTGTAAAACGTAAACTGCTTAAACGTAACTGCTTAAAGCTTGCAAGAAATAAGAAAGTGGTTAAGTCTCCCTGGAACGTCCTGGTTTCCCTTGGATCTAAAATAAATCGAACCACACGACAGACGTGAAAGATGGAAACTGTGCAGTCACACTCATCACAGCAAGTACACTGTATTTTCCCCAGTAGCCTAAGGGTGTCAGCCTTTTCCTGACATGTAGCCTCATTTTTAACTCAGCCGCCTACACAACTGTTTCCATGTAGCCCTCGGATATCTCACCTCCCACAGATAGATGCTCTCCGCAATGCCTGCCAGGATGTAGAGACCATTGGGGGACGCGGTCAGGCAGGTCACCACCCCAGGGCAGATGATCTTCTGCTGGAGTTGGTCCTAGAAGCACAAAGAATGGACGGGAACAGGGGCATTCAGTGAGGAGGCAAAAAGTCACTTAGGGCTGGATTCGTGAGGGAACTGGGCAGAGGAATGAGGACCCAGGTTCAATTCCAGTCCCAGTTGTAGATTGGGGGGGCTGACGTGGGCAGGGCTCTGAGGGGCCTGATGGGAGTGAGGATCAATGGGGGCGGGAGCGTCCCAAGAGGGCAATGGGGGCAGGGCAGAGAAGGAGGCCTGGGGGGAGGAGATGAAGGCGGGACTCTGAGAGGGGCTTCGGGGGGGGGATGGGGTCCCAGGTGGGATTCTGAGGGGCCTGATGGGTCTGGGTTGCGGGGAGGTCAATGGGGGAGGGCGGAGGGGG